TAATACATGTATCTGAATAATTTAAATATAATAAAAATTATACCTATATTATCAAATAAAAGTTCATATCTAAATCATTTCAATTTGTCAGACCACTATTGCAGTTAACTTCCAGAAGAGGTTTTCCAGATTTGGTTGTCAAATATATCTCACAAATCTAAAAATAACAGACGCAGAACTCAAGGCAAATACACTATGAATCCTACGCAGTATTCATAATATAAGTATATGCATAGAATTGACAAAGACTTTATAATTATTATAAATAAGAACATGCAAGATGTGGAGACGATATTTGATTATGGGCAAATCCTAGAGTCTAATGACTCATATTCTCAGCATGTAGTAGTAGTAGAAAATTATCAGATGTGTAAATAATTAATTGATTTATCTTTTTTTACTAGAAAAATTGGTGATTGTTAATGTAAAAGTAAATGCAAATCAACCTCCAGGTCAGTTTATTTATACAAAAATAAAGAAAGATACAGGATATACCTACCTATATAAAAAAAATGATGATTAGTTTTGTTTGAATTCTTTATAGCTTCTTTTCTGTGATTTAAATGGAGATGGCAATCTTGGTAGGGGTGTAATAGTCGATGTTGTGACAAGTCTGATGTAATTGACATTATTTCAACTGAATAATCAGAAGTATCCATTACTTTACATACTGTACATATTATTGCACTTCTGAAAGTCAATAGTACATGAATAATAGGATAGTTATTCTCCAGTTCTGTATGTGGGGTGCATAAAGGGATGGTTGCTCGTTCAAGCAAGGAATTTTTATATATTGATGATTCTTTATTCATGCAATGTAATTCTAGCACCCTTCCAACGATATTAATTGTAAATATTGTCAATATTTCTTTCATCATCGATTTTCTGAACAGTCTTTCATATTTGGGATTTCTCGTGAGATCAATAGAATCCTTTGCAAGTCTATTGAGTTTTTTATGATCTTGTTTTTGCTTATTCTCGGAAGAGTCTGGTCAACCAGTTTCAAGATATGCAAACTCCATAGCGACAACTCTGTAGTTGAGTCTTTTTGCAAGCTTATTCGGACCTTTGCATTCTGGTCTGGCTCATCCCCGCTTTTTAAATATGTTAGTGATTATAAAAGATAGTAGATTTAATAAAAAATTATAAATTAATACATACCAAGCACCCCATATAGCATAATCTATAGGTGCAATAAGTAATGATATTGTGTAAAAATGATTTAATAAATAATTAAATATAAAAAATACAATCTCTGCCACATATTTTATTCACCAACTCCAAGTTATCATCTGATTATAGTAATAAAAGGTAAGATCAAAATAATTAATAGTTATATTAAATATGAAAATAATCTTAATACAGTGCATAATAATAATATGATAAGCTATCGAATCTACCTAACATACAGGTGGATCTTTCAATTGAAAATGAATCTTTCTATTAGTAATATTGTGTTGAAATAATACCACTACCATGTATTTCTTTGTCTATTTCAAGGAAAGTTAAAAATAGTTGTTCTCCGCTTCTGCTGATTCCTAGAAGGCTCTCTAATAAACCGTACTACATATTAACGTATAATAAATTTCTAGCTAATAGTTTTGATGCATGTAACCTTCCATATTTATCGAATTTTTCAATAAAAAGGGTTAATATGTTTATCATTTGCCTCATATATCAAAATTTGTGTAATTTTTTATGTTAATAAAGAACTTATGCGAAAACGTTTATAAAGGGCCATATTTTTATTAAAAAATCAATCTTATCATAATCCTGAAAATAGACCAATTTTCAAAGAAATTAAGGGTTGCTTATATGAATATATTGGCATTGATACGACTGAAGAAAAAAAATAAGTATCGAAATCATCGAATCAGACAAGTTCCTATCAGATAAAAAGGTTTATAAATACTATCCTGGATCATTCTATACAAGTCGTCTACTAAATGAATCAATTGAGCAAGTCCACTCATCAATGATAACAACCAAAATTACCCAAAACTTTAGTACAGCAATGATAACGTTTAAAAAACGTGTTAATTTTTAAGTCAATGCAAAAGATTGTTAATTTAATATTATTATTTATTTATTTAACATTATTTTCATCACTTTCATTGTATGCATTTATTAAACTAAGAGTAATTGAATATTCAAATTAATAAATGGTTTGTTGACCATTGAATAAAGGTTAACATAGGAATTTTTTCATATGTGTAAATTTTCACTACTGACGTTAATATAGTAATAGTATGTAATAGCACTAATATATAATATTGCGCGTAAATTAAGTTTGTGGATCCAAGAATATGATCGCTTAAAAGAAGAAGCATCGACTCTTTTACAATTATAAATAATAATTCAATATCAATAATGTTAAATTAGTGTGTAAAATTATTTGCTTATTAAATTTTTGAGTTAAATAAATATTAGAGAGAAAAACAAAAATATTAGAAGAGAAAAAAAATCAACCTGGTGGCTGACATATTCACATTACTCTAGTATTAACATTAATATTAAGTCTGAATTCACAAAAAATTTTTTCGGAATGTAAAATATGATCTGCAGTCCCAAACAGATAAAAATTAAAAGCTCGAAATAGTCTATTTTATGAAAAAAGTCCATCGTTATAACGATCACTAAAAGTGTAATAAATTGCTTGCCCAGGTTGAGACACTAATAATATGCAATAATCGTGTCACTTTATTTTTGCAAATCCCGATGTAGGTGAACTTTATTACTATTAATGATATTAGGTTTGTGAGTGATTATAAAGTTTAAACAAAGTGATTCACACAGATATATAAGAAAAATTAAACATATACTACATATACTTGATTATTTTTGATAAATTATGACTATTATAAATAATAATATAAAAAATGATTACTCAAAAGTCACATTGCTAAAACCCTTGCAAACTTGACTCTGAGACTAATGATTAGTAGCAGTACAATGGAAGTTACAATGATTTTGTTGATTACAATGAATAACACATCTATGGTCACATCCAAAACAATCATCGCTCACTGAGTATGCCCACAAGGTAGGAATTGCATTTTCATCATCCTCCTCTTGATCTTTCGTACTTTTCACAATACTAGCATTGGTTTCAAAATCAGTTATCTCCAAAAATCCATCCTTCTTTTCAAAATGTTTCAATGAACTTCGCGCTGTGATACAAGGGGCCAGCAAATTCTCAAAATGATACTCTCTGATTAAATCACAAATATTCACAAAAATACTTGGATCCTTAACAAGTTTTTCGAGAACATGTTTTACCAAAACATCCGTGGAATACTCAAATACTGACAATTTGTTATCACACTCAAGTAGCCAACTTGCGGGTAAAGCTTGGGCAGTTGGAAAATTGGCTGATGTGATGAAGGCTGGAGAATTTTGATGAAACTTGAAAATTCTCGATCATCACTTTTCCTTCATCCACTTGCATGTGGCGATGAATCAATCGAACTCCGAGTTTAATTGAATGTATTTTGGTGAGAGAATAGATTTTTTCTAGGAATTCGGCGAAGTTAGAGTGCTGATGTAAGATGGTGGAGGCGACATTGACCTTGAGGAGGGTGTTGCATTTGATGGAATTAAATTGTGTGAAGTCAATTTGGTTAATGGTCCACATTTTTGAAAATAAATTATCATGGAGATATGATAATAATAATGGCTTTTTTATAAAAGAACTTTGCTAAGAGATATATCTGTGCGTCCTTGAAAAATTGGTAAATCGAACTCTTTTTTAGTGAAGATTATCAGTCATTTGATCTATTTGTTTGTTTATTGTTATGATGCATATGATCAAATTATTATTATGCACTAGGTGTAACCCGTCAGCGAAGCTGACGGTTTACATCTAGTGCACACCAGTGTTGTGACCCGAAACTCTGAGTTTAGGGAAGACCCGAAGCAGAAACCAACAGAAACCACCTGAAACTAGTTTAGGTTAGTAGTTTATGCATGGATTTAGGTTTAGTTTTAGTTTTCTGCTTAGTGTAATTTCATTTTCTGAAACATTTCGGGAAGCCAAAAGAGTTTCTGGTCACAACACTGGAGCACACTATAAATAACCTTGTAAATTTTTTTTTTATTCAAAATTATTTAATACTGTAAATTCATAGCATTAATGAGTTTGGTTGCATTTATTATAAATATGCATAGATTATTTCATGACTACAAAATGTCACATTATCAAAGTTAGAGAATAATCAAAAACTTATAATATTTTATTGTGGAATTTTATTGTACCACAATTTAAAAATCATTTACATGCGGTAGTCTAAAAGTTACGCATCACAACGTATTTATTTACGTGCTTGTGGTAGTCTAAACGTAACCACGTTCTGGTCTTGGGGCAGTTCTTGTTATAATATAAGGTCATTAAATTGTAGGTATATTTATTTATTTTGGAGAAATGAAATACCAATTTAGGAATATTATTAAAATAATAATCAAAATAAAGTTACACAAATTAAAATGGTTTCAAAAACTTTACCACTTGAAATTTCAGCTGAAATTTTCAAATATATTGAAGATGATTATAAAGCATTATACTCTAGTATTCTTGTTAATAAACAATGGCACTATTTAAATATTCCAACTTTATGGAAAAATCCATTCCATTCTGAAAAAAGCACCAAAATTTTTATTAACTGTTTATTAGTAGAAGACAAAGATTTTTTAACAAGAAATAGCTTTAAATTAAAGTTTGAACTCTTGGATAAATCACCATTACACAATTATGCCAGATTTGTTACTAAATTGGATTTATTTAGGCTTCAAATAGATTTATGTAAGTTGATTGATACTTTTTTTAATGATACATATAGAATTATGGAAGAAAGATTGGCAGACTTTATTTTAGATTATGCAACAGCTATCAGAGAGCTTATTACTGCTTCTTCAAAACATGAGCAGTTGATTAATCATCGTAGATTCAATGATTGTTTTCAGAATCTTTATGAATTAGATTGTGTTTTTAGCAATGGTTCCAGTTTTTTTAATAAATTATTAATGACTTGTAAGAATATTCAATCATTTAAATTATACACTGACAATGATGATGATGATTATGATGCAAATATTTTTAAAATAGCTCAACTAATTGAATCACAAAGTCAAGTTAAACATTTAACTATTGGTTTAGATTGTCATCTACCAAACATGATAAAAAAAGCAATATCAACACATTCACAATCAATTATAAGTTATACTGGTAATGATGCACATAATTTAAATTCTCAAATAGTATCAACATTTCAAAATTTGAAATTATTATCATTAAATGATAATGAAATTATAAAATGTTTAAAATCATTTCCAAATCTTGAAGCTTTACATTCAGCAATTTACCATCAATCATTTCTATTAGAATTAGCAGAATTTATTAAAATCAATGGGAAAAATCTTAAAATATTATATATTGATGGATTTCCAGAGGATAAGGAACATTT